TGGCTTATATATAAACCAGCCCGCCCAGTATACAGAGTCTTTCAGCAGGTATGGCTGGTGGTCCCATGGAAATTCAAACTATTATTTTGGATGTAACACAATGTTTTTGACAAAAGTATTTATCGATCCCAGCAGTGTTCTAAAAGTCCGCAACTGACGTTTTCAGTATTCTCGAGCAACTATAGAATGGAAATATTTCCTGCCATTGGGAGGGGCTGCAATGAACATTTACAACTTTAAGGTACCAATTTAGGAACAAAACATATGTTATGATTATTGTGCATTATGTGGCTTTGTTCTGTTTTTGTTACATTATTCAGTTTTTTACAACAATTATAAAATATCCAAATATCCACCCAGGACAATTGTATGAGGGAAATGTTTGAAACACACCTCTTAAATTAATTTTCTTTTCATCTGAAAAAAGTCATCCCCCTCCCCCCCCCCCCCCCCAGAAGTCCAATTATATATCTTCCTGAATTTTGAGCAGTTTGGTCCTCAGTTCTTCTTTAACAGCCTTTTCCAAAATATGAGGAGTTTCTATAGGCAATATGAGATAAAACTGTGGTATTGGGAACCTCAACTCTTTATCCTAACAGTGTTTTTTTTCCCTACTGAGTCTTGACTGCTGATAAGGAGCTTTGCGCATCTTGAACCTCAGACTACATTGAGGCCACAGCTTTGGCTATCAGTTCTACTATGAATGTCTCAACTCATTTGAGCCTCAGATTGCTGATACTTCCACTAAGCATTCAGTACATGGCAAACTCATTAAAAAAAAAATCACCCTAAAGCTACCAAAGAAGGTTCTCTGTTCTGCAGCTAAAGAGCACTAAGTGGGAAACTTCCTACCAGGAACAAAAGTCAAGCTGTCAGCACTTCAACACCTTTGGCAACTGTATGTAAAGAGAAAAGCTGGAGCCAAATTTCTAAACTGATGTAAAAAGCCAAGGTGGTCTGGAACATTATTTTTGTCTTGGCATGCCTTTATAAACCTTGCATTGCCACATTACCAGGGGTTTATGTATCCTGCCTAGAAACTCTGTGCCGGTGCTGTAAAGTCTGTTGTTATGGTAACTACTATAACATCAAATACAACATTATGATGAGGGATAGGCAAACCAGTTCAGACAAAGTACTGATTCGTACCTTTGGTACCTCTTAAACCCTTGGATTGGCTTTATATTTGTTCAGCTAGTTGGATCTGAACCATCCAGGGAAAAAAGCAAACTCTATAATCTGAAGTCTTAATCTCAGACCTGAGAAAGTTGACAGAAAGTTTCTTACAAGAAGAGAAACATTAGGTCAGAGTCCCACATGCTGCTTCCAGAGGAAATTCCATGCTTAGGCTCACACAGTTTCTTGCCTCAGCTTTCTTTTCAATCTTCAGCTTTATTAATATTTTCCTGAGTGTAAGCTGGAGTAAACACTATGTGTCTTACTTATGAGTCGGCTTCCACAGGATTACACTATTAAACAGCTTTTAAGTTTGCAAACCTCTTCTAATAACTATGATTCTCAGTATGAAATATGAAATCGTAGTGTTGTCGTCTGAATACATCTGGAAGCTACAGCTGGGAGAAAGCTGAATTAAACCAAAGAGTAAACTTTAAGCTGATATTTAGTTTTAAGGAGTAGTAGGGAACCTCAGAGCCAGCGGGGTCCTGTCTTCTTAGTACTTGCTGTTAGAAAAAGAAAACCGTTGGTATTTCTTATATTTTGGGTGGGCTTTTTAATTTAATTTTTTTTACCTCAAAAAAAATGCAGCATTTTTGGGCTGCATTTTTATTATGTTGGCCTCTGAAGATCATAGGGAGCATGTCTGATAATTTGGGGATGTTACTGGGAGAATGGGATCAAAAACATTCCAGCTGTTTTTTGAATCAGCGATAATTAAAACTTTAAAATAGGTCTGTTAAGGTTAATGAATCTATTTTCAAACTTTAAATGACCCAAAGCAGTAAAAATATGGTGCTAAAAGCTGTTAATTGTTGTTGAATTTTACCTATCCAATCTGGGGATGCTCTGGAAAACATAAAGTAGGGATTGGAGACCCAATGTGGCTTCACCACTGACCTGTAACTTAGTGGTCTCGGAGTGGCCCAGCATAAGACCAGTTAACTTTATGTATCTGCATTTAATTGCAGGAAATAAATTTGAAAAGGTGCTGAAAGGGCTAAATGAGCACAAAAGTAATCTTGTACATACATATGCTAACATTATTCTGACTTGCTCACAATTACTCAAAATAATTTCTTTCTTGATATTATGTAGTGGAAAGATATTAAAATATTGACAATCTACAAATCCAACAAATTCCTGCGAAGAATGCTGCATTGTCGTAAGACTGGACTCTTTTCTTTTTATCTTATTCAAGATAAAATCAATATTCTTATTTCTGAATTACAAAATGGTTTTCTACCAACCTGAATGCTTCCAACATTACATGCCTTGTCATCAGTTATTGTCTTATATGTCTTTGATATAAATTTACTGTGTATCATCTTTCACCCTCTGTTTTGCTCATGCATGGTGTTTTAATGGGACTTCTCTGCTGCAGTGCTGTCAGAATTGAAGTCCTCCACAACTTCCTGGTAGCTGTGCAGATTAACTCAACCTGCTGGATATTTATTGTGAAGAGTACTGATAGGAATCCATATATGTCAGTGATTCAACATACTCAGGCCAGATAGTTGCACTATTAAGAGAAGAGGGCAGGAAATGGCAAATGAGGAAGTGGTTGGGAAAGAAGGGCACCCTGATTCACAAAAGCAAGCAAGTGATGAAAAATTAAGAGTGGGGAAAAGGAGGAGATAATTAAGTAGTCTCTTGTTCTCAAAGCAGCAGTAGTAGAATGAGGCGTAAACCTACTAGTGGCTATATCAAGTCTACAAACCCTAACAGCCGCATACATGCACATTTCATTGGTTAGAAGTCAAGTTGTATTTTACTTTATGAATGTTTACCTGCAATGAAACCTCACCTTCATTAGCATGTCATAGTCATACCTACCTATCATATAATATAAAGCAGTAGCTACAGAAAAGTACCCTTTCAAATAACTCACATCCATACATCTGAGGTTCTTGACTGTGGTAAGTATTAAGTCATTCTTAACATGGATTTGGCACCAACTTCATTACAGTTATTCATTTTCTAATGACAAGGGATGTTGTCAAGCAATTACAGATGACTTTAAAAAGAAAAGTAAACTGCAGGCTCAGGGACCCAATCTAGATCAGGGACAAAAAATCAAATTTCTCTATTCCTCATGTAAGGGTACATATTGTTTTCCTCCCCCCACTCTGTATTTGCATTTTCTTTTTTTTAAACCCAGTTATTTAGCTCAGTATCCAGCTTTGCTCTTAGATCAGTAAAAATGTAATGTGCGCTCAAGAGCAAGGGAGAACAAAAGCTTACAGTCTACCCATCATACAGTATTTGTATTATATTTCACAGAAAGTGAAAATGAGCGCTTACTTTGTATTTTGCAGCGGCAATGGTGTTTAATGCTTAGCTTTAAATCAGTGCTAACTTCCCCATTGTATGAGTTAACAATCCCTTCTGCAAGAAAAAATAACTTTGATAATGCACACGGAGATTCCCAGTATAGCCCTCTCTGTTCATTTCACCCTGGAGCTGGAATTCTGCGCATGTAAAGGCTGGCTTTCCTCTTTCCTAAGAAAATGGGAAAGTCCCCTGGAGCAGCAAGCCTGGGCATACATTAACAGACAAGGCACTGTGCCTTATTTGCCTGATCTATATATATCCCACCTCTATTCCCCAGAGGAACTCAGGGCAGTGTACATAGGTGTCCTCTGGAAGCTTGCAATCCAGGCAGCAGATTTGCTCAGCTTCAACTTGGCGACTGCTTTATATGCAGGCCGCAGCATGGCTAAAATAGCATGTTTTTTCCAACAATGTTTTTATGCATTCTGGAACATAGGTTACTGCATCAATGCCCTTCAGTCTATGGGAACTGATTGCAACATTCCTCATTCCTCCAGTTAGGGAAATGGTCGTTGATGACGCTGCTGCTCCTGCCAAAAATGACTGCAGCCACCACCATATGCAGAAAACTTAACCTGCATGTGTAGTGTGCTTAATTATACAAAGATCCCCTTTATTAGAGTTTATGCAACTCTGGCTGAAGTTCCGAGAGGGATGCTGAGACAGTTCCATATTTGGGTGCCCCCTTTCTGGTATCATTACTCCCCCAGCAATTTTTAATAAGGAACAATTGCAACCATTCATTTAAGAAATACACACACACACAATATCTTTATCCAGGACCATTCTACAGCACTGGAGGAAAATTTAAATGGTGGATAAACTGCTCTTAAATTTGAGTGCTGCTACCAAAAAAAGCCAATCATCCAGATGTAAGAGGGTCATTCCTGACCAAATGGGCCCCAGGAAGTGCAAGGATGCTGGATGCTGTACATACCGGCCCATTAAAGGATACACCATGTATCAATGCAGTGCTGCAAATTTCTGAAAATTCAGTTCTGAATTTTTCAACCATCATCACTGGTCTGATTAAAAAAAAAATTGCTTCTGTTTGCTTTATCAAAAAAGAAGAAAAGTTTGGAGACATTTTCATGTCTGTATCAAATCCACAGAAAATGTATTATGAAGGAATTCCTCCACTGAGTCTTTTTCAGATCAGAAGTAAGGGCCACAGAGAGCTGAAGAGGTGTGTAGAGGAAAACAGTAGTAATAGCAACTCCCTTAGCCACCTCTCAACAATAAAGTAAGCTCATAAAAACTACATAAAGTACAGTAGTTTGAAAGAGCAAAAAAAAAAACTTTGGGAAACTGGAAGACAGATTTCGGTATCAAGCAGAAATACTATGGGCTACATGTAAAATTTATGGGCTTTTAAAAGGGCTTCTAAAGCATTTATATATCAGGAGTAGACGATACAAAATGTGATATATTCACAAGATAGCAGTAATATCATTTTATCCAAATAGTGTGACTATTTTAAGGTGTCTTACCTGTTATAGTTGCTTTGTTGATGGATGGTTGGTTACACATGGGTGACCGTCTGATGAAATGGGAGAGAAGGAGAAAAAGAGACAAAAATGAAAGGCATCATCATGAAATTTGTATTCGTATATTCTTAGGTCTGTGTCCTTGGGAAAGACTGAGATTTTTTTTAGAATAAATCAAAAAGACAGAAAGAATAATATCAAGGCCATACTAAATGTACCATAGAAAATACATGGTTTGAGGTTATACCTGTCTGTTCCCCCCTGGGGCTGGTAGAACGTTCAGCAAACTGACGCCCTCCAGATACGTTGAACTTTAACTCTCAAAATAAGTGTGGTCATATCATGCGCATGAGGAGGGCTGGAACTTTCCCCATTTCCAGCAGATGGGACTGGAGTGATTTTTTTCTTTCCTTTTTAAAATAACTGCCGTTTGTGTTGGATTTCCCACCTCAAAACAGTGAAAAGCCATGTTGATTTTCAGCAACTCCATTTACAGCTGCCAAAACAAATAGAATTTTGAGGGCTCCTGCAGGCCTTGGGTTAAATGAAGCCCACCTCTGTTCTGTGATGTTGTGTTTAAGCACACTTATGCAATGGAGAACTTATGCAATGTAAAGGGTGCATTTAAGTAAAACAAACAAACAAACATGTGGCAGGAAACGGAAAAAGCCCACACTCACTTGCTAGGTGCTCGATCCTGAAGGTTGGTTAATGCAGCAAAATTGTTCCGTACAGTACGTAAACTGGCAAGCACCTGTAGCAAACAAAGTAGACAAAATTTTACTCTCAAGTTCCCCAGTTATGCTGCTTTTCTCTCCCTGATTTATTCGACAACAATAAACAGACAGCTTTTTGAACAGGTGGCTTCCTAAACCAGCTATTAATCTTTTCAGGATTCTTTTTGTGCCTGAAGTGTTTGCCCATTATTTCCCAGTGGAGCAACTGCCATAGTAGGGTGATAGTTTTGACGCTCTCTTGCTTACTAACCCACCCCTCCATTATTTGTTTTCAAAAAGTAGTCTTGTCCCAGGGAAAGCAAAATTTCTTAGAAAGCAACCTCTGTTTCTTTTAAATGACAGCATTTTGACAATAAATCTTTTGTGCTACTTGCATCTGAATTATCACAAGAATAAAAATTCTGTGCAGTAAAAACCTTTTAACATTTGGTAGCCAAATGAAATAAGGCCATTCTCAGATAAATTCATTAAATCCTGCTTTGTTGACATCACAGTGGCATGTATGTTTGGGAATACATTTTGACATGCTTACAGTGGAAGAGTTACCATTCTAGTGGCCTAACTGACGACAGTTTGGGGAAAGATCCTCAAATGCAACAGTGCTTAGGATATCTATAGTCACCAGATTGCTAGGCTGGCTTTGAAAGTCCTGAACATCTGTCTTGGGGGCTGATGTCAAGCCGTATGCCTTTGCAATCATCATTTAGAGGTGTCTGGCACCATCAAAGTGCACCATGTTTTATAGTGTTTGACTAATGACAGATTATAACTTCTTCAAGCAACATAGGTAAAAATACAAGTTGTTTCTTTTGCCAATGAAATAATTCTTCAATTAAGGTTATGGCTAAGATTATAACTCTTCAAACTCTATAGCTGAACTGAACCTGAAAACAGAGACTCCCCCCTTTTCTATTTGGTCACACAATATATAGTACCTACCTGAGCAAACGGTGTCACAATCAAGTCATCTCCATGTCTAGAAAACAGAACACAGAACAGAAATCAATACTGAATTCAGTAGATGACATATTTCAGGATCCCTTTCTGTGCTACAGCTCAAAATCATCAGTACTTTATAAATTATTTTCACCAGCCTCACCATTAGTTATTTCCTCTTGCTTTACTTTTTCCACCTCTGTTGTCTGAAGTATTATAAAGTATAAAACAGTTGTAATCTAGTCATTTCTAAGCATCTATTACACCAACTTCACTTAGACTGTGACTTCAATTGTGAAGAAGCAACAATTACTTAAAGAGATCAGTATGAATCCCCACGTCTTTGTTTTCTCACCTTTATACTAGCAGAATTAGGCAGAAGTCAGTGGCACCCACAACTACTTTTTATTGGAGAGGCCAGCCCATTTAAACACTAAAAGCAACTGCATTAACTACAGCTAATGGATAATAATTTATAGAAATTGGACAACCAAACCACTGTAGTTGATAAGGAATTATTTTGTGGGCTAATAAAACCTCAGTAAAACTTTTCTACTCATTTAAATGTCCATAGTATTACTGATTATATGTCATTGTTAGAGCAACCATACCACATCATACTGTGGCATCAAAATAAAGAATCAGGGTGATTCATCTTGGCAGGTGAGGGGAAATAACAAGAGATGATCACCACTTTGACTATAACAAAAATATCTTCTATGCAGAAGTTGACACATGAAGATACGGACTTATATGATACTTTCTACTATGTACCAGGGTTACTGAATAAGCTGAGATGGAAGAAAAACAGAGAGGTAATATAATAGAAAGTTACTGATTTTTTTTTTTAAACTGACATATTCAAAAAGAGTGAAAACAAATAATCAAGTTTTGTAATGCAGCTTCACAAATGTGGTACCCAATAACTGAAAACAACTACATTCCTACAAAACTCTAAACTCAGTGCTTCAGATTCTGGTTTCTTGGGCAACCAGCAAGAGAAGTCAGGGATTTTCAGTTTGGACATTTACAGCAAACGAAACACAATCAGGGATTCCCAGCTGGAACACAATGTGAAACAATCACAGAGGAAGATTCCTTAATTTGGTTGTTCCATCTACTGGTGGGAGGAGGAATAAGTTGGCAGCTTGAGTTAGCTTACTGCTCAATCTGATTTATTGGGACCTGCAAATTGGCTCAAATGGTTCCAATCATTGCTGCAATTTAAATGTTTTCACCATAGACAATACTTGACCATTTTTGAAAAGGTTTAACATACAGAATCATAAAACAATGTTTTTAAAAATAAAGAACTGGCTATTTTATACCTTGGCAGCCTGGGCTGCAATTTTATGTTCCTTCTCCTGGGAATAAAACTCATTTAGGTCATTGGGATCTATTTCTATGTGAAATATGTATTTGATTATGATACACTGATTGCATTTATATTTATTATTTATTTTTTCTGCTTTGCAGGCATCTGCATGTGTTCGGTGAAAGATTCACAACTATGGCTATCAGCCAAAATGACAACTTCTTGTAATATCTTTTTAAACTACACAAGTATCATAACTATCATCTTTTTGCCTCTCACAGCAAGCCTGCAAGTTAACATTGTTTCCCCTTTAAAGAGAGAACTTCAAGTGAGAGTTAGTGCTTTATTTAACAAGATACAATCAGTTTATGGTTAACATGAAGCCAAACTACAGATAAATCAATTTCAAAGAGCATGATAGGGATTCAAATAGATGGTCTGGAAGTCATCTTCCATCCTAAAGTTTGTAAATCTGCTTACAACACTTCTTTGCCAATTATCTAGTCAGTCACATGAATCAAAGACTTTACAGTAAAAGGACAACTCCTACAACCCACCTTTCTCTGTCCTAGAACCTTTGTTTCTTGGCATGCCTGTGATGCTTGTGGGCATGAACATGTCTTGAATTGCAGAATGCTTAATCCAATCGTTCTGCATAGGGTTTTTCAAACTCTGCCCATAGAACCCTAGGATTCTACACAAACTTGATGGGGTACCATGACAGACTAATGTTAAAAAAAATGTTCACACAAATGCAGCCACTTTTCTATCACTAAAGCTTTGCCTCTTGATCAGGGGTTCCAGGAATTTTTTAAAAAAGTAACAGGTTCCACAGCCTGAAGAAATTTGAAATCCTTCTGGTCTAGTATATAACTGCATGGATTGGCCTTTACAACAGCCATCATGAATTTCATAGTATACAAACATTGCTCTCCAAAAAGCAGAAATTATGCATTCTCATAAACAAGATTTTGATGACTTTGTGTGAGATCTTGAGAAATGAAAATCCTACAAGTTCAGCAATCTTGAATGAGAGTACTCAAATATCATGATATCTTGTCAAGAATACCAAACTGCAAAAACACAGAAGTCTTACAAGATTAAGATGAAAGATGTTATTTCTGTTTTGTTTTCTATGTTAGATCCAATTTAATCTTGTCAATATTACATGGATTTTCAGCTGTCATATGATAACATGCAATGATGCTCAAGGTAAAGGTTGTTATCTGTGGCATACAGATAAGCACAAATCAAATCAAGAAGCACCCTTTTCCAAAAGAAATTCAGTCAAGCATTTCTTGAAGCTTACAATAAATTTCTTTTATGACAGCATTCCCTTTCCTAACTTGGTACCCTCTAATCCACAACTCCCACAATTCTGTGCTAATCATGAATGATGATAATTGTAATCCATGCTTTGTTGCTGGATCTTGTTCAGACATTAGCACCACTTAGAGTTTAGACAATTTGACGGGACATCTCAAGTCCTGATTCTAGCCCTATGTCTGCGAATCTGTTTTCAAAAGGCTGATGTAAATTAATGGGAAATAAATAACTGTTACCATAGTATCATATACAGGAAGTCCTTGCTTATGATGGAGCTGAACAAGGAGACTTACAGCCAGTCCTTGAAGTTGCAGCCATCACAGCATCCCTGTGGTCACATGATCATGATTTGGGTGCTTGGCAACCGGTGCACAATTATGATGGTTGCAGCATCCCACAATTGTGTAATCGCCATTTGTGACCTTCACTGCCGGCTTCCAACCAGCAAAGTCAATGGGGAAGTCGCAAGTCGCGGGCATGTGATATCGCACTTAACAGCTGTGTGTGATTCACTTAACAACTGCAGCCAGAACTGACAAACTGCTATCATAAGTTGGCATGGTCACAAGATTTTTCACTTTATGAATGTGTCACTTAGAGACGGAGTTCCCAGCCCCAATTACAGTTGTTAACTGAGGACTACCTGTATTAAAAATAGCCCAATAAAATGTAAGATCCAGTTTGGTATAGTGGTTAAGGTACCAGGCTAAAAACCAGGAGACTGTGAGTTCCAGTCCTGGTTTAGGCACAAACCCAGCTGGGCACCTTGGGCCAGTCACTTTCTCTCATCCCTAGAAAACAGGCAATGGTAAACCACTTCTGAAATCTTGCCAAGAAAACTTCAGGGACTTGTCAGGCAGTTGCCAGGAGTCAAGACTGACTTGAAGGCACGTGCACCCACACACACATGTAATAGAAAGAAATAGAAATGAGAATAAGATGTCTGGAGCAGGAAGGATTGATGAACAAAAAAATCCTACTGCAATCAGTCAAACTAGAACTAAACACTTGAGAACAGAGATCACCAGAACAGTCTCTCCTTGCATTAAACAGGCAGAAACATGTTGTAGAAGCTTGCCTAACTTTATAATCACCATAACATGGTAGAAGAAATGTAGCACTACTGAAGAAACAGTACAACACTGTAATAATAAAGATGCCCTTGGGGTCAAAGTACCTCTGAGGTACTTCGGTTCTGAGGTAACCTGTGCTTGGAGTTGAACGGCGACAGGAAAAGTAGGTCCCTTTGCTGCCACCACCCCTTCATTATCAGCCACCTTCTCCCTTCCACACCAGCCCTCTGGGGAACCAGGAGAGGACTGAAGGGGAAATCCTCACCCCACCCTGGGTCTGCCTAAACTACAGGAAGGGAAACCCAACAAAACTTTGGGAGACATTTGTTCAGCCAAGCTGAAGGCAGCCAATCAACTCCAAGATTCACTAAAAAAAAAAAAAAATCCAATCTTATTAAAGATGACAAAGAAAGATAAGGTTCCACACACCCAACCCACAGTTGAAAAGAGAAAATAAAATACAGAAAAACCCTAATGTGATTCTAGTCTACGACGAAACAACTCCTCAATTTCCAGTCTTGCCTGAGGTAACCTCCCTCATCCAGGACTTCAGCCAACTCCAAAAAATGCCAACCCTCTTCCCACCCAAAACATGACAAAACCCCTGCTTTTCCTCTATTGGCTCTCAGGGGTCAGGTGACTCCCTCTCAGCACCTAAGGACAGCTTGTTATTTAAAGGGCCAGTTGCTCCTTGCTACAAATATGTTAAGCTGAAACTTGTGCTCCAGTTAGTTATTATCAATATGACCAATCAGCTTTTGATTGATTGATATGATTGATATGAATTTTAATGGACTCTTGGCTTTTTTAGAGCATCGGAATAAGTCCTTAAGGAGGTACTCTGCCTAGATGAAGGGTCAGCAATTACCTATTTGTATGCCTATTCCAGCCTACTGAAGAGAACTGGCTCTGGAGGTGCTCAGTTCTAATAGTCCAGTGGGCAAAGGGAAACCCTGATAAAGTGCAATTCATCCAGCAATCATTTGATTATATGCCATCAAGTCGTTTTTGACTCCTAGCAACTACATACAGTACATAGATTTCCTCCATGATGATGTATCCCTAACCTGTTCTTTCAAGTCTCCCAATGGTGCACTTATCGCCACTCTGAGTCCATCCCCCTTGCTGTTGGTCATCCTCTTCTCTTCTTTCCTTCCCCTTTCCCCAGCATTAGAGCCTAGCTGGGTCTTTGCATAAAGTGTCTGAAGTAGGATCATTTGAGCCTGGTCATTTGTGCCTCTGATGAGAACTCTGGGTTGATTTGTTCAATAATCTAGCAGTTTGTTTTCTTGGCTGTCCATGGTATTCTCAGGAGTCTTCTCCAAC